GGGTATAACGGTATCAGTAGTTGATGCTATATTAAAAACCTTGAAAACTTAAATATATACCTTCTATATCTAAAAGTAATACCTCGGTATATAGAAATATAGGTATACCTCACAGCCCTACTTTATATTGCATAGAGACTGAATTGATTCTGATAAAAATGGATTTTTTATACATTTTGAAATTATTTTAAAAACCTGCCGAAAGATAAAAGACCTTGTACTATAGTGCATGCATTGTCCTTGACCAAATTTTTGTCAAAATTGAAAAGGAGAGATTTCTCCTTTTTGTAATTTTTTGATATTATGTACATGTTCTTATGTTATGTAGAAAGTTTGAGCTGAATGTGATCAATTTTAAACTTTTTTAAATTTTAAAGTTGCTCCAAAACTGGGTAAAAGTCCCTGTACTATAGCACACGGTCTCGGGCCAAATTTTTACCAAAATTGAAAAAGAGAGAATGCCCCATTTTTATATTTTTTTCTGATACACACACATGTCCTTATGTTGTGTGGAAAGTTTGAGCTGATTCAGATCAAATTTGGATTTTTTATGAATTTTTAAAGTTGCTAAAAAAAGCATCCTAAAATCCCTGTACTATCATAATTCTCCATTCTAAAGTACATATTATGTGTAAGCTACTGATACTATCTCTTTCTTCAGGTCATTAATCATTTAAACGGTAGATTTGATTCTGAGATTAATGCTCTTCGTACCAGCTATCGTGACGTTCTCATAACAGATATCAGGAGGTTACTGGATAAATTAAATACATCTGTGAACTCTGCCCAGTCTGAATACGAAGCTACAATCAGCAGACTGACAGAAGAAGAGAGAAATTTAGGAGAACTTCAGGGAAAATTGCACACTCTGAGGTAAGGGGTCTGAATATTTCCCCCCATCATCTCAATAATCCTTGACCCCCTCTTTAGGAACTCTGTCCAGCTATTAAAGAGAGACCTGGATGATTTCAAAGAAGAGTATCTTGACAGTGTAGACTAGGGCGCGCCTGTTTGCGCGCTAAATAATTGAGTAGTATAGTTGTGTATGTGTTTTAAATTGAATGTCCTGATGGGTGGGCGTTAATGAATACCTTTTGTGTTTTGTCTGGTGCATAAAACGAGCTGTTATGTGGTTTCAGTGGATTGCGTGGGTGGCTGCTTGCATAAAATACAAGCCGAATTGCTTGCAGGCAAGCATTAATCTCTTCTAGTCAATTCTCTTCAACGTCTTTTGTTAGCTTGAATATTATAGCACTAGCAGCTCTTGTTAGTAATGGCAATGGTCATGGATTGCTCTGGACAGCAGCAGTTGCTTGGGCGGGATAGTTCAAGCTCTCCCGAGCCTTCAGCTGTACTAAGCGCTGGTGGGCTTTCTGCCAAGCTACAGCAGTCTCTATTCGCTCAGGTCAACATAGACTCGGACAGAAACGAGGACGTCAAGCCTCCTTATTCTTATGTTGCTCTGATTGCGATGGCGATTGCAAAGAGTCCAGACAAACGACTCACTTTAAGCGGGATTTACCAATTCATAATGGACCAGTTTCCTTACTACGCCAAGAACAAGAAGGGGTGGCAGAACTCCATAAGACACAACCTCTCCCTAAACGAGTGCTTTGTCAAAGTTCCTCGGGACGGTGGAGATAGAAAAGGCAATTACTGGACGCTCGACGAGTCCTGTGAAGAAATGTTCGAGAATGGCAACTTCAAAAGAAGAAAGCGAATGAAAAGGCCTCAAAAACCTCTCAGCACCGAGCCAAAGAAAGCAATTTACTTCACCACGGGCAATCCTGGTGCTGGCTGCTTTGCGGAGGACAATCAGCTAGGCGGGACGTCCCAGCAAGGCTACTGCCACCCGATGCCTCCCCAGCATCATCCGTATGCACCCCCGCCGGCCTATCCCTCGGGTACATCAATGCAGCACATGTATGGCCAATACGGTACCGGTGGAGCAGTCACACCGCCTTACCTCGGAGGCTACTCTCCCTCTCCACCTCAGCTGGACCTTTACGGTACACGCTCAAATTGTTTGCCGTCGTCCACGTCTTGCCATAACTCATATTCCTCGGCACCCCAAGGCTCTAATATTTATGCATCTGGTTCCGGTTGCTACCTCCCTGGTGCATCGCTTCCATCTTTCGGTTCTACGTATGGTGGATTTGGAAACTCTATGTCAAACCCATACCTACTGGATGGTAAAGTCATGTAATCAATTTACCAAGGACGCCCAATATAGATAGATTAAACATTATATAGACATATTATTCATTTCTCTCTCTCTCTCTCTCTCTGCTTCTCTCACTCATGGAACTAGCTGTTTCTTTTGGTAGCAAAGTCTTTAATATTTATATATCAATCATCATCAGGCATCATATTCTCCTCCTCTCTCTCTCTATCTGTTCAGTATCCTGCAGGCAAAATCATCACTTTCTATATCATTGACTCATTCCCCTTCTGTCTGGCTGTCTGGCCATTCTTTCTTTCCCTCTTTCATGAACAGCAGGTTTTCATTTTCAACTCAATCATTGTTTGTTTTTACTAAATAAAACATAACCCTCTCTCTCCCTCTCATTATATTATACTCATTCTTTTTCTGACAACAATTATCATTCATTATTATCACTATTGTCATTATTACTATTATTATTATTATTATTGAAAAGAAAAACCTTTAATTTAAAATTTGCTAGCACTTGTGAACAATGGACAAAAATCTATACATAAGCACTCCTCTAAACCATTGTCCATCAGTTAAAGCTGTTTATACAAAAGACTTGGCTGCTATCTCTTTACAGCTACCAATTATATTGTTAGCCAGTGGCAACACTCATTACTTCATTAAACAAGATCGTATCAGTTTGGCACAGGGGGCCAGGAAAAAGCAAATTTCAATTACACTCACAAATTTAATTGTCTTTGTCTTTACACAAACTTTACAAAAGCAATAATTGATGAATGAATAAAATCAAGAGTAGATACTCTTCATAAAATGAATGCAATCATTAAAATTGTCATCATTCATTGAAATATTATCAAATGGTTAGAGAGCCAAGTGGGTCTTTTGTGCCTCCTTTACTTTCTTTTTCCTTGTCTGACGAACCCTTTCTCTTCTCTTCTAATCTTCTCTCCTTTCTCTCCTTCTTTGCTAGCTCTTTCCTCTCCTTGTTACTGAGATGACGCTACAAAAAAAGAGAATGAACCAATAATAAAATAGCTTGTGCTATACTGCATAACTAAGTTTATATATGGCATGTTTTTGCAGGACACAAATTAAGGCAGACATAAACTAAATGACATGCAGGGCCACGAGTATAACAACAGACTCAAACATAGACAGACTTCAGGGTTCTCATTTTGCATGCACATCCTTCCTTTCCTTGCCCTAGTGCCAAACCTGTATTGGTGAGACATTGCATTGATGCGGCTTCGATGCTGCACCTAATGATCTCAATCCGGTATGCTGACATACTCTGCCGTCATCAGTCCCCATTCCTTCAGTAGTAGTATAAACAGACTCAATACTGGGGGATACTGTTACATCCACAGTGTGTTCATAAGCAGCTTCACCTGTACGGTATGAAACCCCACCGAGTGATGGTGTTGATACTGTGTAGTGGTGACAGAAATAACATCTGCTATATAACGTGACATAATGATTTATACTAACAGAAAAAACACTATTGAGTTAGGGTAGCATTAATGTAGAGAGGAGGTCTAAAAATATTACTGAGCTTTTATTACATGCAGCACTGTAATAATAATAATAATATAATAGTAATAATAATAATAGTAATGCTTTTAAATGATTAAGACATTTTCATTAAAAGATAATAGAGTAGCCCATGAACCAAGTAAAAGTATAATTTGCAAAAAAGTTCAAACTAGCTGGCATATATCTGATCCTTCATAAAACTATGATTATAATATTCTAAGTAGACTCAGAAGTAAAACAAGCTCAAAGCTATTATAGTCTCACACTGTATATGAAATGGATGGTCAACAAAGCATCAATAAATGTACTGGATTGTGGTAAGTTATACTGAATGTAAAAGGATTAGAAGAATAAACATACATGTACTACTGATTAGCAATATAAATTACAGATAACACTTATCAGTAAAGAGTTTCTATATATGCATAGCCTGACAATAGAGCAATGCGTGACCACAATGAAACGTCGTTAAATTTAAAAATAACTTTATAAATCGCTATAAACACTACGATAATAATTAGAATAATAATGATAACGACGATAATACTTTAATATAATTATATACCTGTTTGATCCGTGAGCTCCATTAGCTGTAAGAGTTCAATGGTCGCCAAGTGGGCATCGTAACAATTGTCACTAAGGACCTTCTCTGCCAACTGTCTATCCTGTGGTTACAACATGGTAACATACAAATACATATATCCATGATGGAGCTAATACAGTGTAACCTCTATGTAAAATGGACACTTCATTTGGGACAAGAAAGCTTGTCTAACATACAGAGATGCTGAAGTTATTTTATACAGTAATTGGTACACTAGGTGCTGTCCATTAAATGGAAGTGTACACTATAGAGAGTGTCCATTATAATATAAAGGCTATACACTAAGCAATTTAACATTGTATAAGCTCATGTAATGGCTATTACAAAAGTAATTGTGGTCATAATATTTTAAGAGACCCTTCATCTTCATGCACTTGTATACAATTTAATAGTACCATAAGCTTATGTAAAATTGTATTTTTGGTCATAGTGGTTTAAGAGACCCTTCATTCTCATGCACTTATGTGCTATTTGTCAGAGAGAGAGAGACTGCTTTATACCATACTAGATAAATACTCACACACAACAAACGAATGTCCACACTCTTTGTTATGCAACGAAATGCAACCAATTATGAAGTACGTACCCACAGGCACGTACTCACATGTACGCCTATAACAAAACTTTGCATGTACATCTATCTACCTATCTATGTATGTGTATATACAATAGCTTTTATTATTGCTATTAAGTACGTACAAAATTAAAAAGAGGGAGAATCATTTAGCGTTTCCAACAAAATATAAACAATTAAATAAAGACGCTCACCTGGCAACCAGTCGACGCCAAAACAAGCTCAAGTTCATCCTCGAAACCGGTTTCACTGGTTTGTCTAATTCCTTGGATTCCAATGGTCTCCTGTAAACTCAGAGTTGGTCCTGTTTGTTCTCCACTGGTGGACAGTGCCTGCATGAGGTAGTGACTAGTGTTACATGGTGGAATGAGCAGAGATCCCAGTGGGTCATGAATATCATTAGCCGGTCAGTGGGAACTGCATTCTCATTCATTGAACCACAAATATAATGATTAGCGTTAACAAATACATGTACATGTACATGTATATGTATGTATGTGTGCATTGATTATAATCATGGGAATTAAATAAATGCTGATTTCCGTTCTCATCGCATGAACCTTACAAGAAAGACTATACACTTTAGATGACATAACATCATTATTATTTTTTTTTTGATTAAAAATTAAAATCTATCTCGCATGACAAAACTCACTTGCTCAGTTTTGCTGCAATCTATTTCTGACTTTGATACCAATTCCTTTGAAATTGAAGCTGCACCTCCTGACGCCACTCGGTTCTTCTTTGTACCCTTGTAGTAACTAGCTCCGCCCTTTTCTCCTCCCTCCAGCTTGTGAACCGAGCAATAATGTTCCCCGTAAAGATAAGCAATTTGAAGTACAAGGGAGCTTGTCTCTAGAGATGGGGGATGAACCTCAAATCTTGGGGCGTTTGGTTGGTGGATCATGATGGAGCAGTTGAAATGCTTCGAGGCAGCAACGATGATGTCGTTGCCACAGAATGTTCCATCTTTGGAAAGATCCTCTACTAATAAAGAAAGAATAGATGTTTTAATGAAAGTTGCATCACCAGTCAGAATTTGTTCAGTTATCATTAATCTTTAATTTTTGACACATCAATGCTTAAAGATGATTTGTACATATCTCTATACCAGTAAGTATTTTAACTATAAATATTTCATATACAAAATTAGCTACAAGTATAGCTATAACTTATAGGCGATTAAACACGCCAGAGCCCAGAGATACTTAATTTTATACCTATAAACACCTCACTTGACCTCACATTAACTTTGTTACTCACTCACAATATTCTTCAAATGTGATATTGTCATCATCTACTTCCATAAATGGCTCAAATTGATCAGGATGTTCCCTCATGTACTGCACAAGTTCCTGTCTCAGTCTCGTGTGACTGTACCCACCCAAAACCCTCCCTCTTTCAGATTCAACTAACGATAGCTGATCACACAATGACCTGAATAAGCAATTCCTGTAGGATACACAAGCAAATTATTTTAACATACCAACTTCTTCCTCTCTCTTTCCTTTCTCTCCTTCTTATCCTCATACATGTACATGTATAGCTAGACAGTACAAATCATTCTACTATTATTGTGTATGTTCTCCCTAGCCGCCCACATATTTATACAGATAGGATAATTATTGTTTACTAGGAGGTTGTTAATTTGTATCACACACACACGTCTCACTGTAAACAAGACAATTAATAAATAAGTACATGTAAGCATGCATGCCTTGTAAGCAATCAAGGTACGCATAAAGATTTTAAATTGATGTGCAGCGAACTAGATCTATATATACATAATGCATATCAACCACACCCTCACAATCAAGATTGTACATAATTATTTTCTTTATACCCATCTCCTGGGACATCTTTAAGCTTAAGTCCTTGTACTCTAAGCTGCTCTGTCAAGCTCTTGTACTCCGGGTCTCCCTCTTTTATTGCTTGTCTCTCAGATCGCCTTCTTCTCTGTCTCCCGTGGGCTCCTTTTCTATTCCTCCCTTTATGTCTAGGCATTTTCTTTAACTTTGACCGCGCCTCTGGCCAGCTGTGTGCATGCAGCCATGAATGTAATTATAATGATAAATAATTGACCATTGTTTGCATAATCTATTGTTTATGCTCTTCTTTGCTAATTAGTAAAAGGTCTTTGGTGCACTTCATCAAATACTGGATCTCCTGGCCAGTCGGGTAGCCGTGACAACGCCACCTAACCCAGCCTTTGTTGTCAAGAAGAAAGGCATGGGAAACCATAGAGCTATGAATGTCTAATCTATTCTTAATTCCATAAAAGTTACCATAGTGACAAAGAAAGTGCTCCTGGCAAAAGAGAGAGAGAAATAGGAACATTTAATATGACATAATAGTATATAAGCTTAAAACATCATTATTAGCTTGAATAAATATACATGCACATGCATTTGGTAGATTATGTACACACACGTGGAACAAATTATTGAGGCAGTAGTATTGTCACTTTACTGGACTATACTATCTATGCTGCAATATGAATAAAAGGTATCAAGTTTCACTAAGTATGTCTGTGTATGTACTTGTGCACACTCTCTTGCCTTTGTTAGCATTCTTTATTATCCTCAAGTCTTTGTGCATGTATACGCACAAAAGCATCATAATGCATAATAGGATGCAACAGCCTCCATAAGTGTACAATATGTACATGTACATGATGCCTGTGTTTAATCTATCTTATTTACGTGTCGCCTGGCTTCTATTTGTTGTCTGAGATTTGCTTGCAAAAAGCGACGTAATAGTCTTAAAAATATTAACTCCAAAACGTTCACCTGCAAAGAAACGAAAATAAAACAACAACAACGATGATGACGATAATAATTACTTCATAAACTGGGATTGATCCACCAAAATTTTCGATAAAAGGTATCCTGTACCTTTCCGACATTTTCTAAAGGAGCAGAGAGTAACAGCACAAGCCACACCACATCACTGCACAACATAATTATACTTACCAGTCCATGCGCTTTCATGAATATTAGTATAAGAGCTGGAGTACCTCTCATATCAGTTGGAAGGATAATTTTGTCACCTTTTAAAGACTCAGTTTCCATATTTGGAAATAGCAGAGTTTCCTATAAAGCCTGTATATGAATATAATTAATTAATTAATGGTTAACTTTTAATGAGTATAAGCTGCCAGGTGCATTGAATCTCTTGCCCTCTGTATGTCTTAATTCTAAAAATGGACGAGTGCATCTTTAATTGCTATTCAATTAGTATTATATTGGTCTCGTCTGTTTGCCCTCACCGTTTAAATCTTTGACGTAGTTCCCTTCCTTTCCAATTTTTTTCATTCTAACTAGCAATAATAACAATAGTAATATTATTATAATTATTTATGATAGATTTACATGTTCTTTCTCCCTTCTCTCCTCTCTTCTTTGCTTTTGAAGAAAGCCAACCCTCTCGTCAAATAGAAAGGAGCAAACACTTTCTGCTTGTAACTGTAACTATACCCAAGACCATTAAAAAACCTACAAAAGATATACACCATTATTATTATTATTATTTTAATTAATGATTATTAATTGCTTGACCACGTGCAACCTTGTCTAAAAAGATGGCTTTTAGAGCAAAACGTCGTTCTAAACCTGTTCTCTCCCGCCAAAGAAAGCAAAGGTAAACCAGCAAGTTTACAGAGCCGTCTCTTATCCCAACTCTGTCTATACAGCAAAAGGAAGCGGGAAACAGGAGGCAGTGATAAGAACCTTGATCATGTTGACTCAAATCTTGATTTGTCTAGCGAGGAAGATAAAGAATTGCTTACAAGGTATGAGAGCTGATTATATTTGATATATGAAGTAGAATAAAGCAGAATGTGTGTGTGTGTGTGTGTGTGTGTGTGTGTGTATTAGAATAGTTGTCGAAATGTATAATTATGGGTGTGGTTAATGGTTAATCCAAAAACTCATTCATTTTATTATTTCTTTGCTTTCCTTCTCTTTTTAGTGAAAAAGAATTCCACAGCAAGCTAGGACGGCTTAGCGAAACAGACCCGGAATTTTATACGTTTTTGCAGAAAAACGATAAATCACTTTTTGAAGTTCTTTCAGATTCCGAGCCCAGCTCCAACGAAGAGAGCGGAATTGATGATTCTCAGGACTCAGACGACAATCAAGACTCGGACAACATGGTAAATACATTTGTACGTTACATGTACATGTTTTAGTGGCGGGAAGTTGGCAGGTGCTAAGCGAGCTGACTACATTTGCTAAGTTTCGGTCCATGCATCGTTATTGTTCATCAATTAGTTATTATTGGATTATGGTAATTGTCTTAACCATTGTAATTGCTTAACGTAGTACTTTTATGTAATAAAAATGTTTGATTATTCAATTTGCTGGCAGTGTTTGTCTTTTTGGTTTACCTCAAAATGCATGCACACACGCATGCATGCACGTTTACAATTACTGAGTTAAACCCTAACATATTGAGTGATATTAATATTTAGTTGTATGTCAGTTCTATTTGCATATACTGTGTAGAAGGAATTTGGCGAATTGCTAAATTTTGGTGATTGGTGAATTTTAATTTGTCGAATTTGTGGTCATGTGCCATTGAGCATGCGTATAATGGCTCAAAATTGCGGATTTTTATTTTGGCGAATGGCTATCAAAATGCAAAAATTAACTACCTCTGAAATTTCCTTCTATACGGTACATGTACAGTACATGTACATGTATGCATCAATTGATATAACAATAGTTGAGAAATATTGAAGTAGCATAGTGGAGTTTAGTCTTACAGTCAAACCTGCTATTGTGGACAGTCTAAAATAAGGACACCTCTATAATCAGGACAGGTAGTATCAGTCCCAATACAATAGTAATGTGTATTAATCAACCTCTGAAATAAGGACAGGTTCATAATTAGGAGCTAGGGTATTATTGGGCCCCAAGGTGTCCGGAATAGACAGGTTTGACTGTAGTTGATAAGGGTATGCAAAAGATTGATTGTGGCATTCATGCACATGATGACATGTATGAATATATTTTAAGGATTTTTGTGTGAGTTTTTGTTCTCCCATTCTTATAGGTGACAATCCAGTTTATTTTGTTCTACTTTATCTTCACTTTTATTAATATGTTTGTTGTTAAATATCTGAATGTGTTCATGTACACATACACATCTACATATACAAACTACTTCATACAAAAACCTTTTGTTGACTGATACATATCCATTAGCCTCTCCCCTCCCTCCCTCTCTCTCTCTCTCTCCTCACACACACACAAATTAATAATTAAAATGGAATTGTTGCTATTTTTATTGTTGCATCTACAGAAAGTGGTTATGATTACAGCAAGTGTTCCATAGTCATATCAATTTTATACACTCAATACATTCCATTGTACACTGTAATACTCACAGCCTCTCGTTGATGTGTTTTCCAACTCTGTCCCGTGTTGTTGCTGTTGATGTTTTTAGCAAGCACTTCTTGAGTAATTGCTAAGTGTCAGTGTTTTGCAAATGTTTTTATTTCTCTCTTTCTCCCTTACTCTTTTCTCCTTCCTTTCTCTTTCTATTTTAACCTTCCATTACTATCATTTCTTTGTTTCTGCCATTATTACTTAGTCATGTGAATTTCAATTGCTGTATGTATAACCAATGAGCCCCTCACTGTGTGTGTGTGTGTGGTTTAATAAAGCACATACTGAACACTTTGATTGTGTATTGAATTAATACTGGCTATATATTGACAGCTGGTGGCTAGTCATTCATTCCAGAGGAGAGCCAAAGGGACCAAGTCTAGTCACCTTCCCTCTCCTCTCCAACCTCCTCTCCTCTTAATCGTTTTCTCAGACAATCGGCGTAGACGACCTTCTTCTAAGATTCAGCGAAACCTTACACACTGTGGGAGAGATGGGGCATTGTGAGTAAACGAGAATCCAATAGTTTCCAAGCCATGGTTTGCCTAAATTGCATTTGTTCTACCCTCACTCACGCTCAACTTGCTAGGTATCTAATTAAGAGTCTAATTCTGCCAGCCGACGGCGTGTATTACGTGCATAGCATTGTATTAAGGACACGTGTTACATAATGTATGCCCTCAGACGCTATATAGAGCCTGTATTAACCGCCAGACTGTACAGACTGCTCAGACGATATAAGTGAGTGTCTCAGTCCTTGCCCCAAGCCTGTTTGTAAACTCTGTTACGCATCCCTTTAGCTACTATACACTTGTACGACCCTAGGTTGGCTTTTCTTAATTACATACATGTCCTGCCTTGTACCACCGACAAGACAAGGAATCCTTTAAAGCCCTTAGCTTTATTCTGTCTCACTCGTCGGACCTCAAAGTGAATACATGTGG